GTAGTGCAAATTTGTCAAGTGCAGAACAACAAATGCTTCTACACAGGAAAATGGGACACTCGAGTAAACATACATCACCGATACTGTGCGAAACATGTATTGGAGGAAAACAAACGAGATTACCTTTTCGACTACTTGAAAACGATAGGAAAGCAACAAGGATACTTGAGATAATTTCGACTGATGTGTGCGGACCCATTACCCCTGCTACGCATGATAAATACAGGTATTTTGTCACATTCATAGATCATTACTAACACTTTTGTGTAGTATTTCTAATCAGAAATAAAAGTGAAGTTTTCGAAAAATTTAACGAGTTTGTTTGTCAGGTGGAAGCAAAGTTCAATTCGAAGATTGAAAGAGTGAGCTGCGACAACGGTGGGGAATACACTTCCGGAAAGTTCAAAACTTTCTGCGAGAAGAAGGGAATAAAAATTGAATACACCGTCCCAAGAACACCTGAACAAAATGGAGTAGGTGAGAGACTTAACAGGACCATTCTTGATAAAGCAAGATGTCTCATAATCGACTCGAAATTAAACAAAGAATTTTGGGATGAAGCTATTCGTGTATCTGCATACCTTCTGAACCGAACTGAAACGTCAACACTACCAGATAAAAAGTTACCTGCAGAAATTTGGTTCGGCTACAAACCAAAATAAAATAAAATTGTTTGGCTGCACGGCCTACAATTAATTACCGAAGGAGGACAGAACATCTAAACTAGATTGCAGAAGTCAAAAATTAATTATGATTGGATATTCAGATAATAGATACAGACTCTGGAACCCGATCGAAAGAAACGTCATTCATGCTCGAAATATTATTTTCGATGAAAAAGGAAATAGCGAAACAACAATAGTAATAGAACACGAGATCGAACGAGAAAAGAACATAGACGAAAAGAAAACAGAGGATCTGGAAGAAAACAGAACAGAAGATCGTGGAAATAAACACATCGAAAAGGAAAATCCGACAGAAACACCTGTAAGAAGAAGCGAGAGAATAAAAATGAAACCGAAATACTTAAATGATTACTATCTCGATGACTTTGATGACATCAACTTGATAACAGCTCTATCTGCAGGAAATTTACCAAGTGAAGTGCCTCAAAGTTACAGTGAAGCGATAAAAAATAAAAATTGGAAGGAAGCGATCGACAACGAATTATTATCACTGAAGGAAAACAATACATGGACATTAACGGAACCACCAGAGAATGTTGATGTGTTAGATTCAAAGTGGGTTTTCAAAGAAAAAGAAATTAATAGTGTTATAGTGAAAAAGGCCAGGTTAGTGACACGTGGTTTTCGACAGAATGTACTAAATAATGACATATACGCACCCGTAGCTCGTATGTGTACAATTCGTATTCTATTGTCTCTGTATGTACAGAATGATTTTTTTGTTCAACAGTTAGACATAAAATCAGCGTTCTTGTATGGAATATTGTAGTCACCAGTTTACATGCTGCCACCGGAAGGTATTGGAAATATAAAAAAAGTTTTAGTATGTAAACTTAATAAATCTCTTTATGGGTTAAAGCTGGCTGCAAAATGCTGGAACTCGCTTTTTCATATTTTCTTAATCAGTCTGGGACTTCAACGTTCCATAAAAGATCCATGCTTGTATTTCAAGGACGGAACGTATTTGTTAGTGTATGTCGATGATTTGATACTGTTTTCAAAGGACAAACATGATTTAGATTGCATTAAAAGAAAATTGATAGAAAGATTTAAAATTAAAGAATTCACTAATCAAAACTTGACATTTTTAGGTTTAGAAATAAAAAAAATTAAAGATGAAGTCCTTATTAGCCAAAAGGGTTTAATTAAGAAGGTTTTAAATAGATTTAACATGGATAATTGTAAAACATCAGATGTGCCCTTGCAGCCAAAAATACAAATTCTTTTGAATAATGTTACTGAAACTAAAAACTCAAGGTTACCATATAAGGAATTAGTTGGCTGCTTGATGTACATCATGTTGGGGAGTAGGCCAGATCTGAGTTTCTGTATCTCATATTTTAGTCAATATCAAAGTAATTTTACCGAAACTCATTGGAATTATCTAAAAGGTATTCTAAGATATTTAAAACAAACAGAAAATTACGGTTTAAGATTTACGAAAAGTACTAACGATAATTTAAAATTAGTTTCATTTGTAGACTCAGATTTTGCCAACGATCCACAGGACAGAAAAAGTATTACAGGATTTTTAATTAAATTAAATGATAACATTGTCTGCTGGAAATCAAAAAAACAAAATATTGTAACCCTCTCAAGTGCTGAATCTGAATACGTTGCGCTGTCAACTTGCGTTACAGAAAATTTGTTTTTGGCTCAAATGTTAGAAGAAGTGCTTAAAGTTAATATTTACCCACACGGAGAGAAAAATCAAGCGTTTTTAGTATGGAGACTTCCTATGGTAATTTTGTATGAATGCCCTGCTTAAGAGGCGTGTCCTTATACCTCAGTTGCATGAAACATATACTAAAATAGCATGGATCTCTTGCAATCGTAGTATACTGACGTCCCATGCGTTTAAAGGTAGAACTTTTATGCTGATAACGTAGAAATTGATACAAATACAGCAGAAATTTTACGCCTATTGCGCATGTGCATTCTTTTACTAAATAAGGTTAACTGTCCATACTAAAAACGCTTGATTTTTCTCTCCGTGCAATAACGATTTACGAAGACAATCAATCATGTATTAAAATGGCATCAACCCTCGAAACAAAAAGAACAAAACATATTGATGTAAAACATTACTTCGTTAGAGACTGCGTGAAAGATAAGAAAATTGTTTTGAAATATGTAAGTTCAGACTCACAACAAGCCGATATTTTAACGAAGCCTCTTGGAACAACGAAATTTAAGTTTTTCAGAAAATTGATGAAGCTAGAGGAGATTTAAATTGAAACAATTTTGTGACTAATTAGTTCTATGATTAAATATAAATACAGAATTGCAGGAGAGTGTTAAAAGTCATTCATGTATTTTGAATTTGGTTCTTTATTATGAGAACTTACTTTTCCTTTGGTTGTTGGCGAGACTGATATTTTTCTATAGTGAGTAAGCGATGTTCTCTTCGATTTAGTTTAGCTTGAGCACATGTATAGAACAGTCAAAGTTCACACTGTAGTACTGTAGTACTTTATGCGTTTGTAATATTTCAATTAATGTATTAAAAATTAATCCTAATTTTTCACCAGCTTTTGGAGTTATGTAGAGTCTAATTCGAACTAATTGTATCGCAAGTAGACCCTACGTTACGACTGCTAAAATCTAAAATAAGACCTATATTGTAGGCTGAATGTAGGGCTTAAATTTTGCCAAATAAAAATATTACATCAATAAAAATTAAAGCAAAAAGCAATTTTTTAAAAACGAATTAATATAATAAAACATTTTTTAATTAGATAAGAAAATTCCCGGTTTGGCAAAAAATCCCCGATTTTTCCTGGTCGAATTAAATTTCCGGCTATTTCTCGGTTTTCTTTCGCGGTTGATAGACACTTTGTTAAATGTATTGGTAGAAACTATAACACGTTTTCGACTCCTACATGGGAATCTACATGGGATCCATTTTCATAAAAGAAACCATTTGGATTCCCATGTAAAACCGTATGGTAAATTGCGACACGATTTTGAGTGATAACTATACCTTAAATAAACCCAAAAAGCCTATATTTATTTAAGAAAAAATTCCATGTAAAATCTATTTTTATTTTTCAAGTAGGTATAATTTTTCCATATCCCTATTGAAAATTTCCACATGGGATTTTACATTTTACCCTTTTGTGCTTAATGCCCGGATATAATGTTGGAAAGCAACAACATACCCCAAAGATTTCTAAAATTCAAAAAGCAAAATTTTAATTAATAACTAGGAATTTGTTATTTATTTTTATAGTCATTTTTAAAACATTTCTAGAATTCAAAAATAAGAAAATTTTGATTCATAAATCCCAATTTGACCTAATGGCGTTTTAAGGACTTTATATGTTACCGTACCCGCTGAAGTTAAATTTCAGTTTTATTGATGCTTTTACTGTACCCTTTATATTGAACATATACATATATTTTATTTTCTACGTTAAATGAAATATGAAAATACATGCTATGAAATTTCCAAACTTAAAAGATTAAAATAACAATACACAAATTATTTGCAAACTCACGTTAATTGATTTTAAAAAATTTGTAATAGACATCAAATTCATGACTCTAAACTTGTTAATAAAATAAATGTATTGAATGTAATTTAAAGTTTTAAAACATCAACCGATATCAATACCAACTTCATAAAAAATTAAACAATATTGAAAAAAAACTAATTAAAAATTTGGTCGAAAATCAAAAATATGATTTTGGCTTTAAAATTTGGATTTATTATTTATATTTAATTTTTATAGTGAAAATTAGTTGTATTTATATTAAAAAGTAGCTACAAAAAGTGTCACATCAATTTGACAAAAATTAAAAAAATTTGCATTTTTTCAATTTTTTGAAATTTGTGAAAAAAGCTATGACTTTCGTTCAGCTTAATATTTTTCAATCGGATATGGCTAGAAATTTAAGTTAGACCAATACCTAAGAGACTGTAAAGTTTTGTTTTAATCGGTCAAGTAGTCTTTGTGTTTATCCCGGACAAAATATCGCGGACAGACATACATACATATACATACACACATACATACATACATACATACATACATAATTTTTTTTATTGGCATTTTTGGAATTCTTACTACTTGAATATAAAAACTAAATATGAATTTTCCATTTCTATGCAATGTACAGACAAAAGTCTGATCTTATTTATAAAGATTTTTGCTAAATGTTGCAATAAAAAAAATTTCAACAATCTGCTACTTTTGTTCCTATTTTTCACATTTTTCAAACTTGTTATTTTTCTTGATATTTACAATATTAGTGAAATTCAAAAGTAACAATTTGAATAAAATCTAATAATTCGTAATATTTATTTTTCAGATCAATGTGGAAAATGCAGAACCAGCACAAAAAGACTGAATCTCAACAAATACTGCAAAAGAGATTATGGTAAGTAGGGATTTATATTTGTTCTATGGATAAGAAAAGGATGTAAATGAAATAATTCAGTGATTTTTGATTATACATTGCGTAAATATTAATAGAACCAGTCGAATAGATGAAGAATATAGTTCATTTGAAGTTTAGACGGCTTAAAAACTACTGCCGCTGAAGAGTGCACAGAAGGGTCTTTATGTATTTGTCCCATTCAGGGGCAATGACAATTTACTCTACACCCTTACATTGTAAATAGCAAAATAAAAGCAAACAGAAAAGAAAAAAAATGTTTCTTTTAATCCTTAATTACGAAAATGCAAACAGAACTCGCACTTTTCTTTATTTATTAGATTTCATTACTTTCAAAAAGAAAAATCAATTATTTCGAATCAAACGCTACAATAAATTATCATTACGTTACAATAAGCGTAGTCAATAAAATCTATTTTATTGACAATTTAATGAAAAATAAATTTCGAAATTAATTATCTACTAGCTACATTAGGATGACCGTTAAAAACGACATTTTGGAATTTTGTCCATTTCCGAGTCTCATTTTGTAACAAATTGAAAAAAATTAGACCCCTTTTTTTATTTTTTTTAAAATTAATATCACAGGACCACAAAAAAAATTAGTTGAAAGGTTTCTTTGACCAAACCTGGTGTATTATATGTTTTTGGGGTCGCTGAAAACGAATCTGAAATTCGTTTTGCTCCATCACGTCAGGATTTTTCCTAACCTCAAAATACATATCAGATTTTACGTGACAAATAAAATTCTATAAATATTAATAGATTTACCTCAATCTCGGTATTAAGGCTTTATTGGGGTTGCTGATTACGAACTTAGAGGCAGATTATCAAAATACAAAATGGCGGATCAAATATGGCGGTCGGATTTTTAAAAAATACATGAATTTTAACAAAACTTAGTATCAAGGGGTTTTTGGGGCCGCTAATTACGATTTTAAAGTCAGATTTTTGAAATACAAATGAAGGATCTAATATGGCGGTCGGATTTATAAAAATTTCTTGAATCTTTACAGAACTTGGTATCTACAGTGCCGCTCAATAACTTTTGCCCACCCTACAGCGATTGAGAGCTGTACAAAAAGTTTTGTATTTTGTTTATTATTAAAGATAAAAAGTTCAAAAAGGTCTCTTTTTAAAGCTCTTTTCCTGAGCTTTAACACTGTATAAAATAAAAATTAAAAAAATTAATTTGTTAATGTTTAAAAAATGTTATTGCAACATAAAATTTTTCGTTTTTTTTTGTTTTTTTTAAAGTGATACAGTTTGTTAGGAAATGGTCGCATTTTAATCCCACATATATTTTCTGAAAGCTAGTTTTATCACCTTTAAAATGCATTTTTGAAAAATTTTATACGATAATTTTTAAGAAAAATATGATTTTTTGTTTAAAAAAATAGCCATTTTTTTCAATTGCTGATAACTCAAAAACGGTTACTTTAGGAAAAAAATTTTTAAGAACATAAATTGTTTCTTTTTATGTGCAGAATTAAAAAAAAATATGAAAAATTTTTTTTTCAAAAAAATTTTTTTGACTTTTTTCAAAAAAAAATTTTTTTTTTCATTTTTATATTTTTTAGTTTTAATTGTAGAAACTCGCTTTTTACACTCATTACAACAAGCAAGAAAATTTTTCATCGTATTTAATTAATTTTTCTCAATAATTTTAACTCACCAATCATTTAAATAACTTTTGATATAATACTTATTTATTATATTGTTTGTAAACGGATTAAAGGTTCTTAATTACTTCGACGATTGTCATCATAATGTCAGTCTTGTGACAATTGTCATAAATATCGGAAGTCTTTCTCTATATATTTGAAAATACGCGAAATTTATTATTTAAATTTATTAACATTATATGTTCTGATTAATCAGCAAAATGAAATCTCGAAATTTAACTACTGATGAGCGCATAGCAATAATAACGCATCACAAAGATGGAAAAAGTAATCGACAGATTTCAAAATTAATTAACATCTCGAGACGTACTGTCGATTACAATGTTAATAAATTTTTAAAATATAATAATATAATAAATAAGTATTATAACAAAAGTTATTTAAATGATTGGTGAGTTAAAATTATTGAAAAAAATTAAATAAATACGATGAAAAATTTTCTTGCTTGTTGTAATGAGTGTAAAAAGCGAGTTTCTACAATTAAAACTAAAAAATATAAAAAATTTTTAATATTTTTTTTCTAATTCTGCACATAAAAAGGAATAATTTATGTTCTTAAAAATTTTTTCCTAAAGTAACCGTTTTTGAGTTATCAACAATTGAAAAAAATGGCTATTTTTTTAAACAAAAAATCATATTTTTCTTAAAAATTATCGTATAAAATTTTTCAAAAATGCATTTTAAAGGTGATAAAACTAGCTTTCAGAAAATATATGTGGGATTAAAATGCGACCATTTCCTAACAAACTGTATCACTTTAAAAAAAACAAAAAAAAACGAAAAATTTTATGTTGCAATAACATTTTTTAAACACTAACAAATTAATTTTTTTAATTTTTATTTTATACACTGTTAAAGCTCAGGAAAAGAGCTTTAAAAAGAGACCTTTTTGAGCTTTTTATCTTTAATAATAAATAAAATACAAAACTTTTTGTACAGCTCTCAATCGCTGTAGGGTGGGCAAAAGTTATTGAGCGGTACTGTAGGTGTTTTTAAGGTCACTGAGCAGGAATTCTTTTGTGGGTCTGTATCTAGGGCTACTTCAAGTTGTAACGTCGGGGAACTGAGTAATTCCGTTAAATGTCAGAGTCCAAAAACTCACAGATACTAAGTTCTGTAAAAATTCAAGAAATTTTCATAAATCCAACAGCTATATTAAATCTTTCATTTTTATTTCGAAAATCTGACTTAAAATTCGTAATTGGCGGCCCCAAAAACCCCTTGATACCAAGTTTTGTTAAAATTCATGAATTTTTTAAAAAACCGACCGCCATATTTGATCAGCCATTTTGTATTTTGATAATCTGCCTCTAAGTTCGTAATCAGCAACCCCAATAAAGCCTTTATACCGAGATTGAGGTAAATCTGTTAATATTTATAGAATTTTATTTGTCACGTAAAATCTGATATGTATTTTGAGGTTAGGAAAAATCCTGACGTGATGGAGCAAAACGGACTTCAGATTCGTTTTCAGCGACCCCAAAAACATATAATACACCAGGTTTGGTCGAAGGAACCTTTCAACGAATTTTTTTTGTGGACCTGTGTATTTAGTGGTGCCTGTAGGTTATTAAAATTTTCCATGTATTTTGCATGGAAAAAAAACTTTTTTTCGTAGATTTCCTGTAAAATCGTTGAAAATTAATATTTTTTGACTGGACTACTCTGTTTCTCTTCATAAATGTTCAAAGAATAATATACAATTTTTAAAACATGAAATTTGTTAAGTTAACTATTTTTTACAGGACCCAAAAGTTGACCAAAAAAATCAAAATACATTATTATTGGCAAAAAATATTAATTCTAAAAAACGAGAAATTTAAACTGCTAATCATGGTTTCTATTGTTTTTGAGGTCGCTGATTACAAAACTGAAGTCATATTTCGGAAATTTAAAATGTCGGATCCAATATGGCGGCCATGAAAATTTTAAAATTAATCAATTTCTAGGAAACTTCGTATCAGGGGGTTTTGGGGGTCCCTGATTACAAATTTGAAATCAGATTTCAAAAATTCAAAATGGCGGATCTAATATGGCGGCCATGCAAATTTTAAAATTAATTAATTTTCATGAAACTTCGGATCAAGGCAGGCGCGGATCCAGGGGGGCCACAGTGGCATGGCCCCCCCGAGAATTCAAACTTCCTGGAATTTTTTAAATAAAAATTTCATTCATAATAGGTCATCAAGCTAGCGTCTAGCAGATGCCCCCCCCCCAAGAACCTTGTCTGGATCCGCCCCTGTATCAAGGTGTTTTTGGGGTCCCTAGTTACAAATATACACAGGAAAAAAAAAGTCTGACTCCGTTTACACCTTAAATTCAGCCCATGTATTTCACATAAGTCTGTCCTTGTTTAACGGGGCTGACTCCGTTTACATCTTAAATTCAGCCTCAAAAATAGGCTGAAAGTAAAACTTTTTTTTTAGTGTGTAAAGTTAAAAATTTAAACAGGACCTCGCTGCTAATCAGAAATTAGAAGGTTATTATTTATTATTAGCTAGATAAGGTTCATTCACAAATTATATGATACGATTTTATATATATTTTGACTCCATCCTCCTTTGTAACACTTTCTACATAGTAAAAGTTAGAAAATTAGATGTGCTGTTACACTTAGGAAAAATGGTACATAAAAGTATGCTTTATTATAATTCACTTTAACTAATCGAATTATTAGAAATAAGGTAATGTCACCTTGAGTGGACCGCCTAAGCTTTTTTTCTAAAAAATTCTTTATGACAGCAAATTAATCGGAGGTTTCTATTCCAAGCTTTAGTATAGATCCCTTGATAAGTGTTTATACCATAATAGCTTTGATTTTTTTTATTTGGGAAAAACAATTGACTTTAAAAAAATAGCTCATTTTTAAGGAATAAAAAAAGTGTAACCTTGAGTGGACCACTCTTAAAAAATTGTAAAAGTTATTCTAAATTCTTTAATGTATTTAATATTTCTGATATATTGAAACAAAATTTATGTTTATGCAGCTTCAGACCATGTTTGCATTGCAATGTTTACAAGTGAAACCATTTTCAATAATTTTGGCACATATCACATCAAAATCACAAAAAAATTAATAAACAACATAAAACAGTTTTAAACCAATTTATTTCCATAAAAATGGTAAACTGACATTAAAAATATAAAAAACAGGCAGTTCACTTATGGTTATAAACAGTGGTCCACTCATGGTGACATGCAACTTTTTATGGCAGCCACCACAATTTTTTTTTTAATAAAAATTATCACTTAATTAAACTAAGACAATCAATTTCAATGTCCAAAGTAGTAGGAAAA